CAACAACAAATAAAAAAACGCAGAGAGAGAATGGAGGGGAGAAAAAAAGAGAAGGAGCTAAAAGCAAGAGACACACGGCTGGGGCTTTCCAGGGGCCCACGCAACGGCCTTCTCGGCCCACGTGAGTGTGCAACAGGGGCATCGCGGCAGGCCCAGGACACAACTCCAATGTGGTCCTTCTCACCACAGACGGAAGGGAAGGAGAAAAAGGGAGAAAGACACACCCGCCCACGTGTCGCCGAGGGGAGGCGGTCTGCGTCAGCAACACGACTCGCGTCATTGTCTGTGCTCAGATGTTGCTGTTAAGTGTACGGTTTTAGGTGCTCATCGTCCGCAGCCGTGCACAGGAGACGCCGCGCGGCGACACGGAGGGTGTGGGGCAAATGGTATATTTGTGCCGCGTTTGTGGGTTTGTTATTCACGGTGCGGTGTTAAGAGTGGATGAAGTTCCCATTTTTTCTTTTTCTTTCCCCTCCCCCTCCCTATCTTTGTAACGTTTGCTTCTCCAGGATACTTTTTTTTTATTTTTTCCCCTCGCATTGGAGTGAATTTTGTTTTTCTTTTTATATTGATATCAGTTTTGCTGTATCACTTTCCCCGTGTCATCTTCTTGCTTAATGAAAGGTTGATTTGCTGTTATTGTTTGTTGTATTTCGGATAGTCGTTGTATCCGACCGCATCCCGTGTGTAGTAGTACTCCTTTCGCGGTTCGGCGAGGGGCCAGTTATGAGTGACCCTTTCAACAAGGTCGGGATTGGCGATGAATTTGGCTCCAAAAGCCACTGCGTCAACTTTGCCTTCCTTTATTTGTTGGTTTGCCTCTTCGATGCTGTAGCGCAGGTTGGATATCTTCACGCCCTTGTAGCTGTCATGAACCCACGGGACGACGTCCCCTTGTTCCTCTTCAAAGATGTCTCCACGCAGGAAATGCAGATAGGCGAGAGATAGCGGCTCAATTTTCTTGCAGAGGTGCTTGGTTAGAGCTTCTGGGTCGGAGTCCTTCGTTCCCCCAGCGGAGTTTAATGGGGAGATACGGAGGCCCACACGGTCATTTCCCACGGCGTCGCACACTCCCTTGGTGACGTCGTAGATGAGTTGGCATCGGGTGTCGATGGTGTTTCCGGCGTACCGAGAGGCCTGGCGGTTGTTGGCGGAGTCGCGAAGAAAGCCGTCCAACAAGTAGCCGTTGGCACCATGAATTTCAACGCCATCGAATCCGGCCTTGAAAACGGCATTTTTGGCCCCTTCCACAAAAAGTGGGATGATGCCGTTCCGAATTTCGTCGTCCGTGAGCTCCTCCGGGACGCCGTAGGGCTCCTTCTCGCCGCTTTCGCTGAAAAAAGGAGGAATCTTATGTCCGACGATGGGGAGTGTACTCGCGCCGAGCAAGCGTCCGGCAAGGGGGTCCTTGTCGCTTTTCTTCTGTCGAAGTATCTTGTACGGAAGCCCGGCTCGGCCGCCGTGATGGAGTTGTAGGAAAATAAGGCCGCCCTTTCCGTGCACCGCGTCCACAATTTTTTTCCACTCCTTCACCTGAGCATCGGAGTAGATGCCGGGTTCCGAGACGAAAGCAGTGTAGTTTGGCTGAACCATCGTGGCTTCGGCGACGATCAGGCCTGCAGACGCCCGGTCCTCGTAGTATTTGAGCATCAAATCTGTCCGTGGCACATGGGTGTCTTCTTCTGCTCGGCAACGCGTTAAGGGAGCCATAACCATCCGATTGCGAAGCGTGTAGCGCCCAACTTTTAGCGGCTGCAGGAGTTCGGGACACTTCGTCATGGCTGAGTAAAATACCTCTTGGGTTAATTTTTTTTCTTTTAAATATAAACGTGTTAGTATTCGCAAGTACGGCACAAGTCTACAAAACAAATAGAAAAAGAGAACCACCGTAGTTAGTTCGGCCCCACGCAAATAACATTGGAAAAATAAAAAATGCAGCACGCATGGAGTGATAAACAAACCAGCCTCTCCTATCGCGTGCATTGGCAACCAGCGGAGGACAAGTGGGGCGCCCCGTTGCCGGCCTGCATCGTCGCGCAGCAACGCGTCACCTCGGGGCATTGCACTTTCTCTTCCCCCGGAGCAATCAAACAACAGCAACAAAAACCGCCCACGACCATATGCCGCAGAAGGACCGATGCAGCGAAAGGATTACCCAAGGAAAAGTTCAGTAACACAAGGGAGGGAACACACACCTAGCAGGTGGGAGAGCGAGAGAACACCGCGGTAAGGACCACAAGATGAACTAGGGGCTCAGAAGCAAGCGTGAGTCCACCGCAGCAAATCAATAAGGAGCGGCTTCACAAGTAACGGAAGACAGAAGTATTTAATACATGCCAGTTGTTTAAATCAACCGTGCTCCCTGACGGCTTATTTCCGATCCATCAGACATCACATTCGCTTTCTCCTTCAGCCCTACCGCAGCATTATAGAAAGATACAAGAAAAGAATACTGGATTTACACAAATAGTATCATATATATGATTACCCCTAAAAGTTTTGATGGAGTGAGGTTTTTTTTTTTACCGTTGACTGTGAGGCTGAAGCATCTCATCATTCCATCATCAACCTCTGCATGAGTGGAATGGCCGAACTAGTGTCGCTGCTGGAGATACTTTGAGTCGGGCAACATCTCTTTGTATGCATCGCTGTGAGTGGTGGTCGCAAGGACGCCGTGCACAAGTCTCTTTGCAGGAACTGTAGCATCCGGCGAGGGTGGCAACAAAACGCAAAAAGGCTTCGGTGACGACACTGTTCCTGTTTTTGCGTCCAATTCGTCGAGAAACCATGCCTTGATGGTTTTAAAGTACCGGATCTTGTCCTTCGCCCCAGAAAGGCACGTGGCATGCATCGCCACCCATTTTGGGGTTTCATTGACTGGGTATGGTCTCCAGAGAAACGTCTCCCGCCCACGCTCCAGTCGACGTGAGCGCTCAAGTTTGTAGTTGCATTTCATGTTGAACTCCCAGCGCGGCAAACACTGGTGTGAAACACCATGGACATGATCGTACTTCATGAAAAGCTTCATTGCGTTTTGATCCGCGCTCTCATCGGTGCGGAAGGACATCATGTCTTGAAAATAGCGCAGGGTGCGCTCATTTGGGCGTACCATGTACAGTCCCGAGTTGATGCTTAGCTGGGCCTTGTTGTCGCATTGATGCAGCAAATCCAAATGACTTTTTCGCAAGTAAGGCATGGGGGAGCGATTCCATGTAATATCAAGATCTGCAAGCATAAACGCGTACCCACGGCGAAGGACGGCAATGGCCAACCGCGGCTTCACCCAAGAGTATTCCTCAGTGACCTTACGTGTAAAGCCTGCCTTCTGTGAGGAGGCAATTCCAGCACTTTTCTCGTCCCCCTCGGGTTCTGCAAATATGCTTGCGTTCAGGCATGGCAAACGGAAGGACAAGCACAGCGACAGGGCAGCAGCATCTGTAGCGGCGACAATCAGATTTCGCATCTTGGCCTTCTTCGCAAAACTATACGCGAAGTTGTGTAAGTGATCGCGCCAAAAGCTGTTAAAGACCACGACGGTGACAAACCCATTTTGAATGGACTGAATTTTTAGGAGAGAGTCCAAGTCATTGTGCTTCCCCTCGTAGGGAAAGGCCGCAATAAGCGAGGCATTAATTAACCATGGAGCCTCAGATGCATCAATGCATGCGTTCGTTTCCCCATGTAACGGAGTAGGGGGCATGTCGTTGCCCAAGGAGAGAGCTGAGCGGGCTGTCCTCGAGATCTCCACCAAGGAGGGTTCGTGCCACAATGGAAGCCGCCCAGAGGAGAAGTTTGACATGTTGTGCTGAGAGTCGTCTGTCGGAATAACGCAATGACGGCACGCACACACATAAACCGGAAGCGCCTCTACGTGTGCATCGGGGAGACAGTAGTACTTGTACAGATGAATTCTTTCACGTACGCAGACCGCAATGGCGTTTAGATGAACCAATTGGAAATGAAACCGCCACGTTCCTACCTCTACCTTGGCGTGCCACACACTTCCGTAGGTCTCCAAGTAGTAGGTCGCATTCGTTCCTCTGGTCTGTGGAAAGGTGAGTTCCCCATTTGCCCTTCGAACCGGTTTCTGTGGTGGCATAAATTTGTCGGGCACCCATCCAATCAGCAGGTACCATCGATCATGGCGCAATAACGACACCGCCGCGTCGTAGGCACCATCGGCCAGCAGAGACTGCAGTAGAGAAGTTGCCCAGAGAGGCCGCGCCACCCGAACTCCGTTCGACTCGTAGCACTGAGCAGAAGTTGCACCTACATCTATCTTTTTTCGCCCTTCCATGGGCCCCAAAAGGGGGTTAACACGAAGCGAAGAGAACGGGGCGCGGTTTGCGGCTCCGTTAGCACAATAATACGCCGCTGGGGAGGGCTGCTCCTGAAAACCGGGGCACGGCAAGGGCGTCGTCCCTCTCGCCGTAACCCAGCTTTCATTGCGCCTCTTGTCCACTCCTGCCTGCGTGGCACGTCCTCCTGTCCCTGCCACGACCTCATGCGAGCTCGTCTTACCGCCGCGCGTTGTTGTCTTTGTGGGATCGTCATCGGAGCCTTCCAGGAAAAGCTGCGACGCAAGCAGCATGGTTACCAGCACAACCCCCAAACAGCAAGAGACGCAGAGGCAAAATACGATTTTCAGGTAGGAGGGTGGGTACTTGCGACGTCCGGCAGGCCCCATCACCGGTGCATTGCCACTGCTCGCTCGGCGACACACGCGGTTTACCCACGCAAGCATTCCAGTGACTGCGGTATTATTATTATTATTATTATATTTTTTTTTGCTTCCTCCCCATCCCCACCCGAGGCTCTTTTCTTCTTCTTCGTTGTTGCCGCTCTCTCGCCCTCTCGTCGTGTGTGTGTGAGAGAGAGAACCCGGGGGGCGCGCACCTACAAAGCGAGGAGGAGGACACACGCAGAGGCGTGTAGAGGTGCCTCAAGAGTAACTACGACACCCTGCTGCTACCCTGCACTGGCGGCAAAGGACCGCGCGAAGGAACCCTTCACCAGGCGGTCAATCTCCACACGAATCTCATTGCGCATAAACAAAGGGCGTGGCAACGAACATCATAATCAACAACAAACTATCGAATAAAGGCACACTGGACAAAACAAAACAAAAAAAGGCTTCCCTCGGCGCACGCGAACGAAGTGCGGCTGCCGCATAAAAGCATCAGAATGGAGAGGCCAGAGGTCATGCCTCGCGCGGTCAAAACACGGGGCAAATCGGTTACCGGTGGATGCATTTGCGCCCTGCCTCGTCCCCTGCGGCATCACGTCAACTCCATCGCCAACAACAACTAAAAAAACCTCGGCGCCTCGTAATTACAAATGCACTCCGTATATGTATTCTGGACTGTTGTCCCTCAAGCAGCGGTCGGCAATTTTCCCATACACGACGGTGAATGCCATCCACAGCGCAACAAGCCCAACATAAACGGCCGCCGAAATGGCATACTTGACTCCTTCAGAGAAGTCCTGCATTTGCTTGAGTTACTAGTACCCCTTGCTGCTTCTTCTTCTTCTTCCTTCCCCGCTTATGTATTTCTTCTCCGTCCCTTTCACGACCAAAGCGGTCCTTTGTCTCTCCATCCAGGCCACCTAAGAGTTCAGGCGCAACCGCAGACAAATCACCAGGGAAAAGAGTCAAACGGCACGGCCTGGGAGCAACTCACCTCGCTCCTCGGCCTCAGCGACACCCACGGCGCCTCTCACGCAACGTCCTTGGGGAACCAATCAGTGAAGTTCACAACCACCGGCTTCCCTCCATCCTGTTGGGAAGTTGTGCGTCCATCGACACACCACGATAGCGGCAGCAACCCTCAACGCTTTGATTCACACACACACACGCCCACCAGAACTTATCAGAAGAAACACGGGTAGGCAAGGATTAAAGAGAGAGAGAAGAAAAAAAAAAGAAGAGAAACACCAAAGTGCAGATAATGAAGCGCACTACTGCCGCTTCTTGTCCCCATCGCTCGGTCCCGCCGCAGTTGGAACCGGGTCAGGTTCCCAAAAGGCGTACGTGACGTACGTTGTCATGATAGCGATGGTGGAGCCTAATGCCAAAAACCCACCACAGACACCTGAATCAACGTCCAGATACGGCGCCACGAAGTGCATACCAAAGAGCAGCACAAGGATAGGAACTGTAAACATGGCTGCCGTTGTGATAATAAACACCTGAGACACATGTTTGTGCTCCGCCCTAGACAAAATACGCACGAGACCACGAAACTCCTCTAGTTTCTCATTCATTGGACGCATCGTCGCCCGAGTAAACTCTTCGCGTGCCTCCCTCGCCTGGCGTATCGTGTCCTCCGCCGTTAGCTCCTCCTTCAAGGCTGTAGTCTCGTAGTCCAGTAGATCAGAGTAGAGTGCCTTCCGAAGCTGTTCCCTTTCCTGTTCCTCCAATTCCCGCGAGGTGCGCACAGCAGGACAGGCAGCCGAGGATACCGCAGTCTTCGGGTTCACGTCACGCTCGCTCATTTCACCGTCCGTCTACCCAATCAGAGAACTGCTCAGTGGATCACCGGCACAGCATCAATTTGGGTGATACGGAGAAAAAGGTGGGGAAAAATGAGAGAGACAGATTCAGTGCGCACCAGCATGGACCTCAGGCGGGGAAAAGGGATAATCCACCCCAACCAAGAAAAGTAATTGAAATCAATAAAAATCAATAAATAGCCATATATATATGTGAGGCAAGGAAGGGAAGTAACGACTCCGTCAAGCAGAAGAAGAAGGAGGAGGGGGGGGGGAACAAAAGGGATGACAGAGATCATAAGACACCTTCCTCGCCCATCTCATTTTCCACGTTGTTGTTGTTGCTGTTGTTGTTTGTGTGTGTGCGCCCCCATCGCCCTCCGTAGTTGCTTGTTTACATTCTCTCATCGACGATACCTGGTTCTGGTAGGTCCACAACTGCGGCTGCTAAAGGAACATGTGAGAAAAGACTAGTAACATACACAGAGACGCCCTCTTCCACAACCTCATCGTCTACACGCTCCAGAAGGACTTCATACGAGGAAAGTGAAGAGGGTATCAGAAAGGGCACCTCTATAATGTGCTTTGACAGCTTACATGACGCCGAGTGGTGACTTAGAAGGATTGTTAAATTCTGCAAGGCTCTTGCACTCGCATTTTGTAATGTGATTCGCAACTTATAGACCGGACCAAGACCCTGCACAGCCGTCATCACACGCACAGAGTCGTCGCTTCGGGGCAGGCCAACCCCTGCTGCCCCCACCTCACCGGCGCCGGAGAGCATCGAGAGATACAATTTGGCGGTGGTCAACCGCAGTTGACAAAGATCACGCTGAAACGATCTATGCATATCTATGCTGTACATGCGTTCGCGGTCCGCCTGACCCACAAACAGACTCGTGAGGGGCGGTACAGGGATAGGCACATCCTGTTCCGTTGGTGGGCCAACCTCTCGGGCCTTTTCACATTCAAATGATGCGTGGCGGTGCAGCAATTCAACTACTAGAGAACCATTTTGCAAAATAAGGATAAGCGCCGAGTCTTCACGGCCGTAGCGACCAAAATGCATCGCGTTTACAGTGCCATACGCCTGACTCTCATGCAACAAGGTCTTTCCCACGTACACGCGAACGGCTCCATTGTTCAGCGCCACAATAATACCTCTGGCCTTTCCAGAAACGGTTTCCGGAATGGTGGCTATATTTGTGACAGGCAGAGGAAGGAAGACGCACATCTGACGCTTTCCCTTCAAGGTAAAGTATGACAGTGTGTTCTGCGTTGTTGCCACGGCCACAAGGTTGTCGTAGCGAGCAATCTGCACAATTTGTCCATCTGGGTAAATAATCGAGCTGGACAAGTTACCGTTCTTTACAGAATAGACGCAACCGTCTCGACAGGACAAAATAATACGATACTCAACCCGTAACGCCCCAACTGTTACGATGGAGTCAGGGACGCTAGGGAGTTTTATCCTGAGATGCACCTCCGTGGCGGAGCTCTTCAAAATGTAGAGGTAACGATTCTCGGTGCCGACAACCAGGCAACCACGGCTTCCCAGTTCCGTTCGCTGCAGCGAAAGAGAACTCATGCAGGTGACAACACTTTGCTGAGAAAGAGGAGTACCCCTTACCAACTCCACAAACCGCTCTCTCTCCTGCACATTGTCAGAAGCCAAAAGATCGGTGGAACGCATGGACAATTCCACCCCAGCTGCACGTCTATCGCTTAACATTTCGACTGCCTCCGCAACGGAGATGCCGTTGTTGCGAAGCCCCTCCCAGACAGCCACATCCACGTCATCCAGCTCAACCGGAGCTATCGTGAAACGGTACAGTGGAGCCATGTTCCTGTACATGAAGATGTGCGGTCCGCAAGCAACTGCCACAACTGGCCGAGAAACAGCATCGCTGCCGTCCGAGTAAAACGCAGTAAGCGCCGAAGGAACAGAAAAAAGTCGCATTTCTTTTACAAGAGATGTGCCTCCAAATATTTTTAGACGTCGTTTTCCATCCGCAACAAGCAGCTTATAGTCACCGTCGCCATGGACATCGGCAACACAGATGCAGTTTGTAAATGCCTGAATCCCGGCAAGTTGATCGCGAAAGGCATAAAGCCAGAACTTGTCCGTCTTGCGAGACTTGCCCGTGGAGCTCATTTTGCTGCCACCTGCATGCACACACACACACAGAAGAAAAAAAAAA